GTCCTCTTCGGTTATCCGAACCGTTCGAGGGGGGCGGAAGTAGGCCCCTAGAGAGTCGATGACCCATGGCGAGCAAAATATTTTGGGGGCACTATAAACCCCAGGGAGTCGATAACCCTTGGCGAACGAAAAATTTTGGGGGCAGATGTAAGCTCCAAGGGAGTCGATAACCCTTGGCGAACGAAATATTTTGGGGGCATATGTAAGCCCCCAGGGAGTCGGTAACCCTTGGCGAGCGAAATGTTTTGGTGGTACTGTATACCCCTAGGGAGTCGATAACCCTTGGCGAGCGAGATATTTTGGGGGTAGAGGTAAGCTCCCAGGGAGTCGATAACCCTTGGCGAGCGAAATATTTTGGGGGCAGATGTAAGCCCCCAGGGAGTCGATAACCCTTGGCGAGCAAAATGTTTTGGGGGCAGATGTAAGCCCTCAGGGAGTCGATAACCCTTGACGAGCGAAATTTTTTGGGGGCACTGTATACCCCCAGGGAGTCGATAACCCTTGGCGAACGAAATATTTTGTACTACATGCGGCACCACAGGAGGAACTGGCGCTGGTATCGCATTGGGAGCGTTTGCTCCCATCGTGGCGATATATTGAATCTCGGCCTCTGTGGCGGCGCGAGTTGAGGCTTCTGCTATCATGCGTTAGAGCGCGTCCTCGGTTATTTGAACCGTTCGAGGAGCAGGGAGTGGTGGATCGGTGAGTGGTGGGTCCCGAGGAGGGATCACCTGAACCTCGCGAGGTGGATCTGCAGCACGTGGAGGAGCTGGCTCCGCGGCACGTGGAAGAAGTGGCTCCGCGGCACGTGGAGGAGGTGGCATGCCAGATCCTCCACGGACTGGGAGGTTATTAGCTGTGTCATTTTCTCTCCGAGCTGACGCCTCAGGAGGATCTTGATTAGCTGTGTAATTTTCTCTCCGAGTTGACGCCTCAGGAGGATCTTGATTAGCTGTGTTATTTTCTCTCTGAGCTGACGCCTCAAAAGGATCTTGATTAGCTCTGTCATTTTCTCTCCGAGCTGACGCCTCAGGAGGATCTTGATTAGCTGTGTTATTTTCTCTCCGAGCTGACGCATCAGGAGGATCTTGATTAGCTGTGTCATTTTCTCTCCGAGCTCACGCCTCAGGAGGATCTTGATTAGCTATGTTATTTTCTCTCTGAGCTGACGCCTTAGGAGGATCTTGATTAACTGTGTTATTTTCTCTCCGAGCTGACGCCTCAGGAGGATCTTGATTAGCTGTGTTATTTTCTCTCCGAGCTGACGCCTCAGGAGGATCTTGTTGGCTACGTGATCTGGTTTGCATCGTTCCCACAGACGACGCCAAAATGATGATGCTAAAATATAGCTCACCTAGGGTGGTGTAGAAAATGAACTGGGAGAGCAAAGCGGATCAGTAGCTTGACAACTTGATGATCCTGAGGTACCTGCGGTCATAGAATACATGAACTAAGCCGGGGGTTGATCCGGCGGAAACCCCTCCGACGCTCAAGTCAGACGTGCTGATCATAGAAATAGTCCAGAGAATACAGTTGATCGTATTGCTCAGTTAATAGGACGTAATGCTAAAATATAGCTCACCTAGGGTGGTGTAGAAAATGAATTGGGAGAGCAAAGCGGATCAGTAGCTTGACAACTTGATGATCCTGAGGTACCTGCGGTCATAGAACACATGAACTAAGCCGGGGGTTGATCCGGCGGAAACCCCTCCGACGCTCAAGTCAGACGTGCTGATCATAGAAATAGTCCAGAGAATACAGTTGATCGTATTGCTCATTTAATAGGACGTAATGCTAAAATATAGCTCAACTAGGGTGGTGTAGAAAATGAACTGGGAGAGCAAAGCGGATCAGTAGCTTGACAACTTGATGATCCTGAGGTACCTGCGGTCATAGAACACATGAACTAAGCCGGGGCTTGATCCGGCGGAAACCCCTCCGACGCTCAAGTCAGACGTGCTGATCATAGAAATAGTCCAGAGAATACAGTTGATCGTATTGCTCAGTTAATAGGACGTAACTTAATAAAATGAGTAAAACCTCTATTTATACGTCGTTTATTGGGTTGGGTTTGCTTTGTTGGGCCCAAGCCTTACTTGAAGGTGTTTAGGCCTCGGTGATATTAGTCTTCGATATTGGGCTCGTAGCCCAGTATGTAAAGAAATTGTAGGCCCATTGGGTTGGCCCAATTAGGCATATCAATGGGGATATTTATACTTGTGAATACTATGTCATTAAGGAAATACATATTTAATATAATAATCTTATAGAAATAGTGTAATATATTTTGCAAGTGATTGATATTTAAAAAGGAAAAAAATTGACTTACTTGAAATTATTAGAAATGAATATAAACAATTCAATTGATCTATATGGAATAAACTTTAATATGGTGACAGAAGTTAATATTGATAAATCATTCAAATATAATTTCCAAATATGTATTAATTAGTATTGAATCATAATTATCTGCAAATAAATAAATAAAGATGAAAATATTTAAATTTGGTCAAAAAAAAAATTGGCCGTATATAAAGTTGGATTGATGTCACAATAATTGCCGGGTATGGAGTTGATTAACTTATTATTTATGAAACAAAAATCTAAGCCACTTACGGAATAAATAATTAAGGAAAATATCATTTATTATTATTAGTTTTGTATTTATTGAATGTAATGTATATATTGAATAAAATAATGTGCAATGTATATATATTCATAAATTGTGCAATCCATTGAAGTAAATATGGTCAAAATCTACATAAATATGTGAGGATATTGTGTATATTGGAAATAAAATATTATGTACCTTCACATACATAAAAATACAAAAATATAAACATAATAGAACAAAAAAATCGAAATTATATATATAGCATAAAAAATTGAATATTCATATAAAATAGTCGGATCGAGAGCTGAAAATTATATTGTTTATAGCATGGGTTATTACGTAATTTTAGAAATATTTTTAAAATTCAAAATTTGAATTTTAAAATAATCAGCAATCTAAAATTTTGAAATCATTGATTATATAATTAAATGATTTGATTTGATTTGAATTGATTTGGAAATAATTAATTGAGCCACCTAATTCGAGAAAAGTTAAGTCGCGTTAAAATACGTAAGTTACTTTATTTTATGATACATATAATATGGAAAAAAAAATATATGGTTATGAGAAATTTTATTAATTGTCCTTATTTGATAAACACATAATCCGGAACAAAATAAAAATTAATTTGAATTAATTATATCTTAAAATAAAGATAGTTGAATATATCATCTATATATAATATTATTGTTTTAGTTTTGCAAAAGAAAATAATACTCATACGGAAATTTTATCTCTTGCAAAAAAAAAAAAATTCTATATATTTTTCAGAAAAAAAAAATTATATCTATAAAATCTTTTATTTTACATTATTGTATTTTATTAATATATCATTATATTTTATAAAATAAAATAATAAAATAATATATATGTTGTATTTGAAAAAAATTTAATTTATTGAATACATATTCCGAAATTCTATAATTACGATTTATTATTAAAATTAATCGATATTACAATGAAAAAAAATTGCTAAAATTTATTTGAATATTCATAAAAAATGGACATTCAAACAAATATATTTCAAAAATTAAAACTGTAAATAAGATAAATATTTTTCGAATTTATACATGGATTAAATGTATTAAAGAATATATGTATATGTGGTAATGTTTAGATGATTATGCAAATAATAAATGGAAATAACTTAAACACATACCAAAAATGAAAAACCAACTCATCAATTTGAGATGCCACATAATCAATTGAACTCCAACTAAGCAATTTTGATAAATGACATCATCATTTGCCACATGTCAATCATTGAGGGCATAGATCCTCTTTTTATATTATATATAGATGTTTATCTTAATTAATATAATTTTTTTATTAATTTAAATTTAAATATCACACTATCTTAATTATTTTTAACATTTTATCACATTTGTGTTATTACTATATACACCTTGCTATTAGTGCGAAGAAAACTAATCCAACAAAGTTGATATTTTTTTTAAATATTTTATAAATGAATTCTAAAATAAATAAATAAATAAGATAAACTACAAAAAAACAATAACAATTATATAAAATTCAAATATTCAATGAAGAAAAGAAAGGATATTCATTAATCTTTATTAGAATAGTCATTATAATTACTAATAATAAAAGTCATACAAAAGTAATTGGCATTTACGGAATAACATAATTAAAAATATATCTTATTTAAAGGGAAGTGAGATAAAAGAAATTCATGAAATATATAATAATATAATAATGGTGGAGGCCCAGCAGTCTCTATCTCTCTCCTTTCTAAAGGAGTTCTAACTGTGGGACTTATGTGAGGATTCGCTAAAATTGAAGGAGTTTTAGAGAGCTACTAATCACCCACTAGAGGATATAAGTTCCCCATAATTTGAGGAGTTGACACTAAAATTAGAATTGGGAGCTCCAATACGATGCTCTAATTGGGTCTTTTTAGGTAAAAAAAAAACTTTCGGTCGCAATATTTGCGTGTGCAACACACGATAAACTGTTAGGGGCTTTTTTAACTTTGACTACATTTCATAGGGGGTCCTTGCCAATTTCTTTTATCACGGGGGATTTGACGGCAATTAAAGAGTACACAAGGTAGGTTATTGCAAAAAACCCCAAAATAAAATTACAAAGAATTGTCGACAAGTCAGTCTAAGTCAACTTTCTCTCTTTTTGCCAACTTTAATCCTTAATAATTGCATGGTCCTTGATTATTATAGTTTTTTTCTCACATTTTTCTATAATTTAATGATAATTGTCTAGTAATAAGAAATTTGGTGGTAATTTCTTATTTGACTAAAGAGGCGCACACCAAACTTGAAAACATATACAATTGACATTGAATTTTGATATACCAAGATCTGCATCATTTCATATTCCAAACAATTAGCAAGAGTTTGTTTTAGTTTGAATCAAAGTTGCTCTGCATTTCATTATCTTGTTCAGAAATGGCAGAGGCGTTAATTCAAATAGTTCTTGGAAATCTGAGCTCACTGATCCAAGGTGAGATTGGATTGATTCTTGGTGTGGATGAAGAGATGAATAATCTCTTCAGCACACTCACCACCATTCAATCCGTGCTCGAAGATGCCGAAATGAAGCAACTTGAAAGCAGAGCCATACAGAATTGGCTACTCAAGCTCAACGATCTTACGTATGAGATTGATGACATCTTGGACGAGTGCGCTACAGAACTCTCGAAATTGGAGCATAGAAGCAGCAAATCCAGTCGCTATAGCGTGAAGAAAATTCTGTTCCGATACAAAATTGGAAGAAGGATGAAGGAGGTGGCTGGAAAACTTGACGCGGTTGCTGCCGAGCGTTCGAAGTTCCATTTGCGCGAGATGGCTATAGAGAGGCCGATCGAGTTTTCCGCCACACGTGAGACTGGCTCCATTTTGAACGTGTCTCGTTACATTTATGGGAGGGAAGAAGACGCAGAGAAGATTGTGGATATCTTGGTCAACCAAGTTGTCAATGATAATCAAGAAATCTCCGTCCTGCCCATAGTTGGTATTGGAGGCCTTGGCAAGACCACCCTTGCTCAATTAGTCTATAACGATCAACGGGTCGTTGAGCATTTCGACAAACTAATTTGGGTTTGTGTGTCCGACGATTTTGATTTGAAGACTTTGTTGAAAGCCATGATTGAATCTGGGGCTGGTAATGCTTCTGATTTATTGCACTTGGATGCTTTACAGCGCTGCCTATGGGAGTTGCTCAACAACAAAAGGTACTTCATTGTACTGGACGATGTTTGGAACGACGATCAGGAGAATTGGTCCGAATTAAGAAATGTGTTGGCGTGTGGCCAGAGTGGTAGTTCAATTCTCGTCACCACACGCCTCAAAAAAGTTGCTGATATAATGGGAACACTTCCACCACATTACTTAAAGGGATTGTCGGACGAGCATTGTTGGTTGTTGATGCGTGAACGAGCATTTGGACAAGAGAAAGAGGAATTTCCGAGATTGGAAGCCATTGGGAAGCAGATCGTGAGCAAGTGTGCCGGTGTTCCTTTGGCTGCTAAGGCGCTCGGAGGTCTGTTGCGGTTTAAGAGGACAGAGAAAGAGTGGAATTATGTTAAAGAAAGTGAAATATGGGAATTACGTCAAGAAGAAACTCTGATATTGCCAGCCTTGAAATTAAGTTATCATCATCTTCCTTTGTCATTGAGACGGTGTTTTGCTTACTGTGCCGTTTTTCGCAAAGATTCTAAATTTAGGAAAGAAGAGTTGATCTTTATGTGGATGGCGCATGGATGCATTTCATCAAAGGGAGTGCTGGAAGTGGAGGATGTCGGCAATCAAATATGCGATGAGCTGATTTTGAGATCCCTTCTGCAATATGTTACAGATGCAAGTGTACCTACTTTAATGATGCATGATCTTGTTCATGATCTCGCTCAATCAATCATGGAGAACAAAGTTCCTGGAACACAAGTCCAAAGGACAAACTTCAGAAGTGCATCTACTAGAAAAATCCGTCAGGTAAGTTTGCCAAAAAAGTTTCTTCTTTTCGTTAAGAGTAATCAACCAGAGATGGACATGCCTCTTGTCTTAAAGAACTTTTTGCGTTTGAGAATATTAGATGCAAGTTGGACAGGGATAGAAAGTTTGCCTTGTGCAGTAGGCAATTTGAAACATTTGCGACAATTGAATTTGTCTGCAACTGAAATCCGTACCCTACCAGACTCAATATGTAGTCTCTGGAATTTGCAAATCTTGAATTTGAATGCCTGCGAAAAGCTCGAGGTATTACCAAAGAAGATGCGGTACTTGATTAATCTCCGCCATCTATTTTTGGGAAGTTGTGAATCGTTACGGGAGATGCCATCTAAAATGGGAGAACTTACGAGCCTTAGAACATTGAGTATGTTCATAGTGGGTCGTAATAGAGGCAATGGAATAGAAGAATTGCAGTGCTTGAAGCTGGGTGGCAAGCTTAGAATTCGTCATCTAGAGAGAGTGGAAAACAGTATGGATGCAAAGAAAGGAAATCTTGCTGAAAAAGGAAATCTTCGTCATTTGTATTTAGAGTGGGAACCTGAGAATACTACTGCATCAAAATCATCAGGGCAAGAAGATATAGAGAGAGATGAAAAGGTGTTGGAAGCACTTGAACCTCACCCAGATCTCAAAAGTTTAGATATAAAAGGATTCGGGGGTAGGCATTTTCCAGTTTGGATGTCAAATTCAACTCTGGACAAAGTAGTTCGTATGAGTATATCAAATTGTGACAACTGTTTGCATCTTCCACCACTGGGAGAGCTATCTCATCTTAAGTTGTTGAGTTTAGAGAATCTGGCTCTGGTGGAGTACATTGTTGAAGATCAAAGTGGAAATCGATTAACGAGCGTACAACAGTTCCCATCTCTGGAAAAACTGTATTTAACAACCCTCCCCAAAATGAAAGGATTGTTAAAAGAGCAAGTGACGATGGGATCAGCTAAAGTATTCCCAAATCTTAAGGAGCTAAACATTCGAGATTGCAATTCGTAAGAGAAGCTTTCTGTTCTTCCCTTGGAAGATAGCGTGAGAAAGGGTTTTGTCCGGCGAATGGCTTGGCGAAAGAGACAGTAACGAATTCTTCATCAGAAGGAAGGAGGGCTGCCTGGAAGTTCTTCAAGCCAGGTTTTTAAGACTTTAGGAAGGGAACTTAATATTCAACTGCAGCTTCATTGTCTAAGCTGGGTCTGGACGCTCTTAATGGACTTTCAATGGACTTTAAGGAGAATACGACGACATGTATGACAGTTGAGACGCTGCAAAGCCTGAGTAATCTCAAGAAGTTGGTGTTTAAAAAAGCATGTGATCTTCCAGAACAAGGGTTGCGAGCCTTGAAATCTGTTACACATTTAACGATAGAAGAATGTGATACACTGAGGTGTTTGCCTGAAGGGTGGTTGCGACACCTCACTTCTCTCGAGGAACTTGTAATATGGAGCTGTCGAGAACTAGAAGAGCTGCCGGAGGAGGGGATTAAACACCTCCACAACCTTAAAAAAGTAGTGCTATATGATCTTCCAAAGATGGTTTGTGTTCCTAAAGCATTGAACCACCTCTCATCCTCACTCCAATCCATACACATAGACGCGCTTCCTGGGTTGAGTTCACTCCCCGATTGGTTGGGCGATATGACATCTCTTCAATCTCTGCGGATTTTTATGTGCCGAAAGCCAGCATCACTTCCAGCTAGTATACAGGGAATGACAAATCTCGAATATCTGGAAGTGTATGGATGCCCGGAATTGAAAAGGAGATGTGAGAGAGAAAAGGGAGACGATTGGCACAAGATAGCACATATTCCCTGCCTTGAAATTGGTTAATGGATTCGACGAACTGGCAAAAGCTGCAGGGCTGGTATGTAGCTCCAGTCAATCTCTTTTCTTTTATCCTGTTTATAAGTTGGTTGTTAGCTTTGATACATTCTTAACTCTTTGTTTTTTGCTTTGACTTTTCACAAACAGGCCACCATATTCGATTCTATTCGATTCGATTAGCTGCCTGTTGATATTGGTTGGATGGTGATTGCAAGAATACATCATCAACTAATTTTTCAGCTTAGTTCTTCTCGAGACTCGGGGAATACGCCTGCAATACATATTTGTGCGATTCTTTTCGTTTTGCCGGACCTGTGATGTTTGAATGCAAAGTGAACTTAATGTTAATTTGGTATTTTGATTTTATTTTTTCGAAAACATGTGTTTTATTCCGTAAGTGAAGTTTATCTTTGTAGTATATCTATTATGATGACATAAGTTAATTTTAGATTGGGCAAATGCATCTGTTGAGATTTAAATACCTGTACAAGGAAATCCATGTCAATTACCACAAGTGACGTAATAACACCAAAGCAATAAATTATTTCTTGAATTATACAATTTATTTCTTCAAAAAACACACACACACACCCAAACGTCATCGAAGTTGCACGAGTTGGGTGAGATGAAGGGGTTTTCGAGGGAGTCGAATAGGAGAAAAAATGTTATATTCATGTAGGTGTTGGCCGAAAACCTACACGCAAGTGCACGTATCGTACAAGTAATATAGTGGACTAAAAGTTCGGATATCGAACCCACAGGGAATATTTAATTATCTAATCCTAGACGCTAAATTCTACCAATTATTATAAGTTCACCCTACACAGTCGAATTTTAGAGAGAATTAACTAAATTAAACTAAATTAAAAGCAAGCAAAAACAAGAAAGCAATTTAAAACGAAGATTTAGAGGGTGTTTGGCTAAGCTTATAAGATGTTAAAAGGAGCTTATAAGATGTTTTAGAGCTTATAAGCTCTTCCAAAGTGTTTGGTAAATTTTTAGAAAAAGATCTTAATTTTTTTTAAAATAAGCTGTTGGAGAGCAAATAAGATCTTTTTAAATAAGTACCTCTACCCCACCTTTTTATTTAAGATCTTTTAATGAGTAAAAATAGGAAATAAGCCCATTATCCAAACACTCTAAAAAATAATCCTAAAAATAAGATGTAACAGCTTATCAGCTCTTAAAACATCTTATCAGACGTAAGAACTTATCAGCTGTTTAAATTAAGCTTAGCCAAACACCCTCTTAATCAAGATAAGCAAGCCTAGGATTTTATTCTTCCCCCTATGGGATTATTATTCCGCCAATTCCTTCAATTATGCAAGCAATTAACCCGGATTATTAACCTGAGATGCTAAAATAATCATAACCCGCTTCCGCGTGTATTACGATTCTAATACTCTAGATTCAATTACTATATTCCTATGCAATTAATTCTACAACACAACATTAAGCACAAATCTCAATAATGGCTACCTAAGAGATTAACTATATTCCTATGTTAATACTACAAAGGCTCTTCTACCACAGTTCTAATTATTAACCCGATCTTCCGATTCATGCGATTAACAATAACATAAAAGCACATAAGTTGATCAAGTTCATGCACTTAATAAAACAAGTAGAAGAAATAATTCGGAATTAAAACTTGCATAAAATCATAGAAAAGGGTTCATAAATCCCACATAGGGTTCCAAATAAAATCCTAGAAATAAGAAAATTAGCTACTCATGATTAAAGGAAAAACACAAATAAAATAAGTCATAAACGATAAATCTATGCTTAGAGTCTTCGAATTCTTCGTCTTCGTTATTGCTTTGTTGCTCTCCAAATTGCGTAAAAAGATCACCAATTGTGTGCTTGGCTTGGTCTTATATAGGTGAAGAACTTTGGGGAATAAGACAGTTTCCTTGTGCAATTAAAATCCCTTTACTGCGCAACTTCGGAGTCTCGGACGGGGTCCGAGAATTTGAACTAAAACTGGGACGGGGGTCCGAGCTTTAAATCTTCAGCATTTTGATTTTTTCACTTTTGGCCCATATTTTCTCCAAAATTGCAGTTTTGACCCCATACTTTTCCAATTTTTCAATTTGTACCTAAAATACAATAAATCAACTTTTTAAGCACCAATTATCGTTAAAACACACCAAAAGCTCAAATAAAAAGATACGATGTAAACATATACACTTAACAGTAGGTCGTCTAGAAGGTGAGCACGGTGGAAACTGTTGTAGAAGAGGGGCGGGCATAAACGGGAAGTTTGATCGGTTTGTTGGAAGCATGTGGCAATGCATGAGATGAGTGAGAGAGGTGCAACTAGATCGCGCGCGGACCTGGTTGAAGAACCTTATCGAATGGTTGATGATAAGACGTCAAATTGGATTCGAATTGCAAAATAAACATTTAATTCAGAGAAGAGTTATTAATGGACATTGGTGGAAATATCGAACGAAATTATGGAAACATAAGGGTTTTCTGCGAACTCAAATTGTATTTGAGTATAAAACGAACTCTATCTCAAGTGAAACGGCGCAAGGAACAAAACTCATGAGAAAAGCTCATGAATCACGTCAAATTGCAGCAATCCAATATCGTTTAGACTCCTAAAAGTTCGTTTTTGCTATTTTAGGCAAGTTTTAGAAAATTAATATCAAATCATAGAAAAATCGAATTAGGACTTCGTAAATTGGGTTGTTCCCAAAATTATGAGATCTACAAGAATCAGACTCTAACTCGTTTTTGCCGTTTTTGGTAATTTTTAGTATTTTCTTAGTTTAATTAGGGTTTTCAGTTTTATTAGTATAAATAGCTGCCTTAGGACTTTATTTTGAGGAGAATTTTCGAATTTTAATAAAATATTTAGGGTTTTCTCTATTTTTCTGGTGGATTCCAGAGTTTTCGGTGGATTCCGAATGTTATTTTGTTCTATAGGATTAATTCGTAGAAATTAATTCTTTACCGTGCTTCCGTTCTGCGTTAGTTGGCATCTGTAGCAAGGTTTTTCCTAGTTAGATGGCGAAAGGTGCGAAACATGGAGACAACAACTACGTTGGCGATGACCGCGGGGTTGAGAAACTGCAAAATCTGCGGTTGGTGCGCGAGGGATTTGCCCTTGACAACAACAACATAAGGACTAGATCTAGCATGATGATTGCCGACGATGTAGCCTAAGGTGCGTATGTTAGACACAATTATCATGGACCTGTTCAATTTCAATCAAAGTATGACGACTATTCAAAGGGGAGCGAAAACTCTGAGTTTGAAAAAAACCCGCCTATAAGGAGGCAAAAGGATCGTGATAAATATCGGGTAAGAGCTGAAATTCCTTCTTTTAGTGGAAATTTTCTTGAAGTTGAAGATTTTATCGATTGGGTATTAGAAGTCGAAAGGTATTTCAAATTGATGATATTTTGCCGAATAAGATGGTACAATTGGTGAGGTGTGAGTTAAAGGGTAGTGCAGCCGCATGGTGGGACGGGATACAGTGGAAGAGAGCTAGACAAGAAAAAGTTTCAATCCAATCATGGAGGAGGATGAGAAAAATGTTGATGGATCGTTTTTTACCCTTAGGTTATGAGAAACGTCTATTTCAATTATATCGTAATTGTTCGCAAGGGAGTAGATCTGTTAACAAGTATACTGCTGAGTTTATGAGACTAGCAAACTTAAATAACCTGGAAGAATTCGAAAGTACGGAAATTTCACGGTACTCGGCAGGATTGAATATTTCAGTACGTCTAGGGATGGGGTGGCGTACATTCTACACCCTTGAAGAGGCTCAAGAGTTAGCATGGAGGGAGGAATATTATCAGAAGTGAAATAGTTCTTCTAGAAAACCGAAGATGTTCCGCCCGTTGTCAAAGTTAAGGAGGTACAAGATACTTCGTTCTTTATTCAAGCACCCAGTTTGGTGGAGGATCATGGCGTAAGAGTTAATGAAGTTGAAGACGAAATTGTTGAGGCAAAAGTTAAAATTAGCGTAGCTATGATTAACGATGACATTAACGAAATCAAGGTGAAAGTCGATGAAGTTGAAGGGAGAGTCAATGAGGTTGAAGACAACATCAACAAAGTCGAAGAGAGCGTCAATGGGGTAGAAGAGAACGATAGCAAGGTTGAAGAGGGAGTTGATGAGTTTAAAGAGGGTGTTAAAAACAAATTTGAGGAAGCATTTGAAGTTGTAAAATTTGTTCAAGAAGAGGAAGGTGCACGAGAAGAGAAGGGACAAATGGATTGCATTGAGGTATGTGATCTAATTGTAGATAATGTTTGCTTTGAAATTCTTGTATCGGAGAAATTGGTGGAGCCATTGGAATTTTCGATTAAGAAACCAATTTTTCTAATTCCTCGTTTGGAGGAAGATTTTGTCAGCGAGATTTTTGTGCCGGTAAGATTAGTGGAGCACTTGAAGTTGTTTGGAAAGAAATATGCATCGCTATATTTTGATCATAGCTCGAGGTCGAGCTCTTTTGAAGAAGAGGAGATTGATTAGGAACGTCAAATTGGATTCGAATTACAAAATAAACAATTAATTCGGAGAAGATTTATTGATGGGCATTGTTGGAAATAGCGAAAGAAATTATGGAAAAATAAGGGTTTTCTACGAACTCAAATTGTATTTGAGTATGAAACGAACTCTATCTCAAGTGAAACGGCGCAAGAAACAAAACTCATGAGAAAAGCTCATGAATCACGTCAAATTTCAGCAATCCAACGTCTTTTAGACTCCTAAAAGTTTGTTTTTGCTATTTTAGGCAAATTTTAAAAATTAATATCAAATCATAGAAAAATCGGATTAGGATTACGTAATTTGGGTTGTTCCCAAAATTACCAGATCTACAAGAATCAGACTCTAACTTGTTTTTGCCATTTTTTGTAATTTTTAGTATTTTCTTAGTTTAATTGGGGTTTTCAGTTTTATTAGTATAAATAGCTGCCTTAGGACTTTATTTTGAGGAGAATTTTCGAATTTTAATAAACTATTTAGGGTTTTCTCTATTTTTCTGGTGGATTCCAGAGTTTTCGGTGGATTCCGAATGTTATTTTGTTCTATAGGATTAATTCGTAGAAACTAATTCTTTATCGTGCTTCTGTTCTGCGTCAGTTGAGTTTCCTCACATAATTCGAGGTGTCCCGCGTCTGCAATTTGGAGATTAATAGTGGTGAAGATCGATGAATCAAGTATTGATGGTGAATGGAGTTCAAATGCAATGACTTCCACGTGGGGATGAAGAATCGAAGATGATTGTACGATTTCTTTTGACTAGTGCATGGACATTTGTACACTCAGAAGACTCACATGTGATGCACGTGCAGACAATTCTGGAACGGTAAAATTTTGTAAATTCTTTTTGTATAGG